GTGCGGAAGACTATGTGAGTCAAACAGGGAGAAACCATCTACAAAAATACAAGAGCACAACCGTGCATGTCGATGCCGTTTTGCCTCGTCACAAATCTCAGCGCATCTCGATGAGGAAGGACACAACGTTAACTGGGACAACACGGAAATGCCGGCGCACAGAGGGACAAGAAAAGGAAGAGAATTCCTCGAGACATGGTGCTCTACGGAGAATTAAGTGAATCTCCACAATGACATAGATCCAGTGCACCTACAGCTGGAAACGCATGAAACAGGGCGGCCGAAAATCGAACGAACAGAGGTCACGGGCACGGATCGACGAGGCCAATTTCAAACGCTACGTCCCGACGACACTTTCCGTGAGATTCTCCTTTATACAGCAATACCCTGAAGACACCACTGAGTGAAGTGGTGAAAGCTTTGCCATTAAATTGCTCAGCTCCAAGAACCAAGCAGAACTTTAACTACTAACCCGAGCTACAGGTATTCCGAATCACTGCATTACCTAGTTGATAGCGTCGTTAAAGCAGTTTAACCTCTGGAGTAGCAAATTGCATTGGAGTTGATGGGACCGCTCCAGATGCTTTGTCCAGAATTGACTATGCAGCCACACGGTTGACACAGAAAGACGGTCGTCCGCATAAGCCATAACAACTGGGTTTGCTCCGTGCAGTGTTTCAGTGCATGCGTCGTGCCATCTCACAAGGGGAGTTCACATTCCGGAACGGGTTAACCCTGGCGCACGGCTCACTGTCGTAAGGGCGCCCAACAAACCGATGTAGGTCTTGACACCATCGAATGTAGTAGAGCAAGGGAGGCACGAAATGCACGACTAATTCATATGAAGGTATTTGCATGATTACGAAGGTTAAAATAGCACGATCGATTAATTCCAGTGGGGTATGCACGACGTCGCCTCCCACACAGAGTACAAATGTGTTCAAATTTTGTCGTTCCAATTGTTAATTCGTATGAGCCCCCATCAACCGGGACTCCCAATTGAATTAACATGGAGAATCGGAATGGAGGCCAGGAACCTTTGGGTTAACATTATCACAAACACCACAACTATCCTATGCGTAAAATGCCACTATGCTCGATCCACCACTGTGGTTTAAAAAGTTCTCTTCCTTCGGACAAACTAATCAACGCTTCGCAAGCGTAAACGACACTGGCACGAGAGAATCCGTTTCGGTATCACAGTGAAAGCTAACGACCATTATGGAGCATCGAATCCAGAAGCAACGGACAATTATTAAGCCTCTGCCGCACGAGAATGAAGCGGTTCAGATGCAGAAAGCTAAACGAGCTACTCTCGGAAATGATCCACTAAATCAGTCAGGTTGTGCTCTCCACTGCATTTCAGGATGCCGGTGTTGTCCCTGGCTCTCTCAGTGGTTATAGACTATGCAACACAATTGGGTCGGATAAGTCGGAGGAGCCTGTGAAAATTGCCAACTACTGTTGTCTCCCTCACTCCACGAACAGTCAGAGTAAATCAAATTTCCTTATCAGCTAGCCCTAACAGCACACATTTCAGTAAGGCTGCTTGACATGTGTAGAGTGATGATCATGGATGGTGCCATGATAAATGCCAGCCGAAATCCTATTCTACTGAAGATCGATGGCGTCGAAGCACTTGGTCGAAGTTTTGTAATGAGGACATTTCGATGGGCTTGCTACACTGTAGACAGAGACTGGCTGACACTAACGATTAAGTGAGTCATCTGGAACACCTCCAGGCGTAGATCAAGAAAAGGTGCCGGCGTATCAAGGTGCGGTTGGAACCAACAAACGTGCTCAAAAGCAAGCGGGAGTTAAGGTTAAGACCCCACAACGGAAGCGTACAGCAATGCGGTCAATTTAGGTCTGCTGCTGAAGTGTCGTATTGAAGCCTTCAAGCTAATACTTATACTCTGCAATGCGTATTCCCACTGACTCACTGACGTAAAGAAAGTGCCAAACTCGAAATAGTCGGATGATAGAAAGGGTTGGAAGGTTTGATCCCCCGTAAGGTGTGCATATAATAACGGCCCTAAAGATGCACTAAAAAGGTGATAGCCTACTTTTTACTATACAACACCGGCGCATGGCCGGATGGGGCATGGAAGTGCGGGGGAAACCTTTCGAGGGAATACCCTGTATTAAAGCAGGTCTCCTGGTGACGGTTCCACAGATGGCTGTATTACTTCATTTGAACATTTGGCTACATCTGCATTTGCTATTGTTCACAAGTTCTCAGTCTTTCTAATACGTCCAAGTTGTCAATCACTCCAAAAATATGTTCGAGAACCACTGTGAAAAGCTCGAACAATTAAGAGCCCTGTGGAATCTAGATGTACAGATTGATCAGACTAATCAGTTGAATTGTGTCTCAGACTGTCGTAGAATGTATCGTTTATTCCCTACATTTTAAGAAGTCATGTTGGCGCCCACGACGCCTGAAGACAGTGCAATATGCCCTGAAGTGCTTTTGGAATTCCGCCGAAATGAACCCTGACGACTTAGTCGTGCACTAATGGTAACAGCCCAGCATCAGTCGACCAATGTGGTAAAGATTCCTCTTTGGATGCATTAATCTGTTAAAGGATGCGTTTTGAACGAAAACCGGTTCCCTGCTATTTGTCACAATGAACGGATGTATGGACGGAGCAATATGGATCACATCCCGTTAACTGGTACCGAAGTTATGTTCAACAAGAGAGAGGAGGCACTCCGAGTTCAGATTTCTGTTGCTTTTCGGTGGCTCCGAAGCCGTCAGCCGATCACATTTAAGTATTTGCCAATTGCACGGAACGGCAGTAGGAAGCACGACTTAAAGCAGACTGGTGATTATTTTGCAGGAATGATGGAATCGAAGCGCAGTTACTTTTGCCGTAATGGAACGCGTAACCATTATGGCACCTAGTTAAACTGAACACCTGGAACGAACGAAACTCTCTACCTATATGCATTCCATTATTATTGACCAACCCGTTGTTAAAATGCAACACGGCACTAATGCAGCACAGGTGAATGAGCTCCGAGGCTAAATCAACAAGCTGTAGGCACATATTTGCGCACATCTAAAGCAAACAAATGGAGCTACGCGGTTAGGTTAAAACTACAGGAATAGTGTGGGAGAGATCATTTGGAAGCGTTTGTTGTGTGGATGGATTGCGGTGCGCAGTCTCAATTTGGACTGTGATCCAGTTTCAAGTGAACCCAGTCATTTCGGTCAGTGAGACAGCAGCTGAAACACGCGACACTGCAATCCACGACCAATGTCGATCTGAGTTGATCGCATCAGGTGGAACTAGCAGACCTCGAACCGGGGGGGGGGGTCGTTAGGATGTGATTTGGAACGTCTATTCATTTAGCGATTGGGCCAAAACGGGAAACGCTCGACTCAACGGTTAATGACCTTTCGGAGGCCCAGTATGTTAATGGATTGCGACGCGCAATCTCAATATGGACCGCGATTCCCATTGCAGTGAACTTTGGAAAACCCAATCATTGAGACCGCAACTAACGCAGCAGATAGATATTAAGTGCTTCCTGCCCGAAAATACTTTCCTCCATGACCAGTTTCGTAAGGTAGAGACAGACGAATTGCGATCCGAAACCCGGACGCTGACAAGACGGCCGAAGCTTCCAGCCCTAATCCACTGAGTCGTAGCATGGCTTACTGGAAAGCTGCTTTCAACTCGTCCATAACTGGTTCTTTAGATTTAGTGATGACCGTAACACAGCGCACCAGCTGGTACGAAACAGCTTGATATAAATGAATGAATTTGACAGATATTGATAGCTGGTTATCCAGGAGATTTCCATGGGTTTCGAGAATGACGGAACTCACAGCTACAACACTTTGGGCACCCGATACGTTTGTCAAATACTGAAATCTATTGAGACCCCTCCAATATAGACCGAAAGAGTTGCAGATGGCTGTCGGGCTGGCGTATATGAACGCTTAACTGGACACTCATAAAACTGATAAATTGGGGATCCTAAAAGGAAAAAGATGCACAAAACTTCAATTAGAGTGTTCATAGCGACAGACTACAAAAGAGTGATATGTATGATCATGTATGTACCGGAATAAACCAGAAGAAATGTCGTTAACTAGTGGTTACTCGGTTCAAGAATGAAACACCATCCACCATCAGCAAACAGTATCAGCGTTGTGTCACCAAAAAGGCGGGCTGTTGTTGACGTTTAATCACTCTGTGGCTAAAGGTGAATGTGCGAGAGTATCATGCGCTTTCCCTTGTACAGTCAACTCTCGAACAAGCGGGATAGTTGTCATGGGAAAATACGTGCTTTTGAACGATAGGAAGGAGCGCTCCTGTTACTTGCCATGACAAGCTGCATGAGTTCCCATGAGGGGAAATGAAGAGAAACGGTTAGAGGGAGACGATGTGTGAGAAATAAAGAGAAAAAACCTGTTGATATAGATACCAGTTTAAAAAAGACCTGAATTAAACCTCTTTGTGGGCACAGTGGCGACAGTAGACAACTAGAGGCCTTACCTGAGGACCTGAGAGTATGGGGAATGCGTTGCTTATTTGCTTCAATGCATTTAGTTGTTAAGGCCAATCGAATAACGTAACCATAGTATCAGAGAAAATCATCAAGTTGACTGCAGTCTTAGTGGCCGTACTAGTGATCGGAAACAATGTCTAGAGTCAGCTGATGAAATTTGCGTAAATGCAGTCAAGCACAAGCCCAACTTTGCTGAATGTACACAAAACATCACGATGCCTTTTTCAAGGCGAAAATACCACTGAAAGGAATAGTGCTCAGTGGAGTACCCTATGAAACCAGGGAAGCATAGTGCAGTATGAATACCATGAATAATGAAAGACAACCTTCCAAGCGATGAGTTAGTTGCAAGCATGCAAGAGGCTGAAGCGAAGCTGTGTTAATCGGTTGCAGCGGCAGGCCAGTGCATGCGCAATGTGTACGGTGCACCTCGTGTGGTTGAGGCGATGCAGAGCACACGTGACTACCGCACGTACCATATGGTTGGAACACCAGATTCAGCTGCGACGGATGGGGCACGAAGACAGAAGATCGGTTATTCAATGGCATTCGATCAGCATGGAAGGAAATTGACTCGACCCCGTCAGGTAGAGATGCTATAGAACGTTGACCATTGGACTCAGTATTTCCAGGCAGCATAGCGGAAGAATGACACACAGGGGCCGTGATTATCCCGACCGAAGTTCCCCGATCATCTACGTGTGCAGAATACACGGGTAAAATTTCCGATGCATCTGACCTTCCATCGGCCTCTGTTGAAGCCGGGTCATATCCTGCTGGTCTCGTGGTATTGTCGATCTCCAAATGTATTTCTTCACCGCTGTTTGGCTCCGATGTTACTACATCCTCCTGGAGCCTTTCCACGTGCTCCGGAGCGACCGGATTAGAAACTGGAATTTCCTCTACCGGACCACTTCTTGTCTGTTCGGGTTTGTATTCCATTTCACTCCGAACTTGTGACATCTGGCGAACATCCGATTCCACCCCGTTAAATGTTGACAGGCTTGGTGGTGCAATGCTGTTACGTATGCTAGTGTAAAGGCTTCCGCTATCTGGCGTGCCAAGTTGGCTTAGCCCAGTAGGTATGTGCGGACCGGCAACTGCTGTTACTGGAACGTGGCTATAGGATACTTGCTGGAAGATGATAGATCCCTTTGAAGGACCGGCAGGCAGCATAATAAAAGCCGGTAAGTATAGCTGTCGTGTACTTTCATCGTTTCGTAGGAGTGGAGGGCCATCTGGTGAACAGAGGCAAGACCGAAATGAAGTTTCGATTAGTGCTTGAGTGATTACCGGTAGAAAAAGATATTTCTGATATATCTTCCCTGATCCATCAAGCGGTCACCTTACTCTGTTCCTACCAATGGGGAGTTTAGCGCAGCAGCTGCCTTCTGCCTTATCTCCGAGTGCTTCACCTCATTGTTTTGAGCAAGGTGACGGTCACTAACATCATTCCAGGCGTTGACAAATAATCGCATGCGACCAGCTGCTACGACCTGTCCATACAAGACGAGTGAATGATGTCTGCGCAAATGTACTGAAGTAAACATGTTTAAAAGGCGCAGGACTCCCCGGTGTGATTCAAACACCCACACACCGGTCGATATTGCTGTATGAAATGGCACACGAAGTACTCAATGATTTTCGACAAAGTAGAATATAGCTGGAGGAGAGTTGTCTAGTGACCACAGAAGGAACGGACTAAATGCAGTCAAGGACAATGAGAGAAACGAACAGGCCTTCGTAAATGACGAAAAGCTGTCAGCTGAATGCGAGCAACCGTAAGGCAGCTAGTTTGCTACCTCAGTTTCATACTAAGAATGGTCTTTCTGAATGAAAGCGAGATAGTTCCAATGGGATGTTTAGTGAAACCGGTGAAGACGTTAACATTTAGTCGGAGGTGAGACAAATATTTGAGGATCGACTGAGATAATATCCAGCAATACGCCCATGCTCAGCGGAGGTATGGCCCATTGGTTTGGTTAGGTTACAGAAATGCATCCCAGAAAAGTTTCCGTCTGCACTTGTGCTCATGAGGTAGATGGTCGGAGCGAGTTCGTTCGTGGGGTTTAAAAAGCACTAACGCATAATGTGCTCTCGTGAATCTGCTTAACTGTTTCTAGAGTGACAAATTATTCTCTTGGCCGTGAATGCAGTTAGGAAACAGAAGTACCGAGCAGGTGAACAGTACGTTGTGGGAAAAAATGCAACTTGGGGTTAAAACGAGAGAGTTGGTGTTCACTTAGAACCATACAATTAATACAAGTGATAACAAACGATGGAGTGAGTAACTTGCGTACTGTACTACTCTAACGTCAAAAGCGGACCAATCGTTGCACCATTATCGTACCAAACGGCTTGACTAACCGAATGGGGGAAACCGCCAAAATAGCTCAGGTAAAAGTAAGCGGGTACAGCTACGGCAGTTAAGTGAAGCGCCACCTATACCGCAGACCGATAATAGTTGTGTTCCTCGATTTCAAGAGTGCCTACGATTCAATCGATCGATCGATTCTGTTCGAAATACTTGCGCGGAGAGGTGTTCCCACGAAATATGTGTACATCCTTCGTGCTCTATACTCGGACCCTACAGGTGGCGTCAGGGTCTAAGGTGACCTGTCGGATAGCTTTCCGACCACAAGTGGCGTGTGTCAGGGTTGTCCGATTTCCACATTTTTTTCAATTTCGTCATGAACTCAGTCATGCAGTGTTCCCTTGAGGAATCCCAAGATGTAGCCGTTGAGGTCCCGTCTGGTGAAAGGTTAGTTGATCTTGGTTATGTGGACGATATCCTCTTTCGATTTGGCGATGTAGGGGCGGCCCATTCAACCCTGAATAGCCTCTTTAGAGTGGTGCCATTATTTGGTATGCGCGTCGCACCTTCAAAGTGCAAAGTGTCGCTGTAGGACCACCAGCCACTTTATGACCCCTTGACCGCTGCTAACGAGGAACTCGAGGTGGTTGAACAATTCGCTTACATTGGCAGCTACATCAGCAAGGAGCGGCGCATAGAAACTGAAGTCAGTTCGCGGATTGCAAAGCCCAGAACTGCCTACTGGAACGTGCGGCATCTGTGGAGACAGAAGGGGTTTCCCTCCGTCTGAAAGCCCGTGTATACAAGGCCACAGTGAGGGCCGTTCTTCTCTGAGGCAGTGAGACTTGGCCGCTTCGGTCTGAAGATCTGAGGCGCCTTCAAGTCTTTGATCATGGTTGTCTGCGAAGCATTGCTGGTGTCAGATGCTTGGCTTGGGCACGTGCTACGTAGGCCTGGCCAGCGCTTACCGAGGAGGGCCGTGCTTAGCATGCCAGGTGTAGGATGGCGCAAGCCTCGACGTGGACAGAAGTTGACTTGGCAGCGGGAAATGAAGTCACTGACGACCAAACTGGATGCAGTTGGTCCTTCTCACCTTCCGGGCTGGAGTCCACGCGACTTTCCTTGTGCTTAGTTTGAGACTTTACAGGAAATGACTCGCAGTCGACACCAGTGGCGCGTCTGCTGCCGTCTCCTAGTCGGATTGCCTGTTTAAAGTCTGTTTGGTGCTGAATTGTCTGAGGGGTAAAGACCGATTATGGCGCGGGGCAGTGAAAGCCGCAAGGAAGCTGTATCGCCGATGCCGCCTTATCTGTACACGATAGCCAGCTGTTTGTGAAGATATGTTGTCTACACAAAGTGTAGGCGTCTTGACCCTGAATGTTTGCTAAGGGCATTAAGGTTTTCAGGTAAATCCCTCTTCTCTCCCTCTTCTCCTTTATTCTCTAGGTCATCATGGTTGTATGGCAGTGAAGCATCAGTTCAAATGGCTGATGTACTGCTGTTGTTTATATGGTTGGCGGCATCCGGTTTCGGATTTGCCTCTCACCGTGGCCAGCCACAGGACGCCTGCGCCTACAGAGGGACCATGGGTGGCTTGCGCTGCACAACCCACAGCTCAATCTACACACCTCATACCCGAAGGAATAAGACCGGGAGGCATGTGGATGGGAGCCACGTTTCATCAACGGAGCCGACCCACACTCCTTCACACGCAAACACAAACACGCTGTATTTGGGTATCAAGCGCACAGAAGGCGGTGGCTGGAACGTAGTCCGCTCCACACTGAGTGCTTGGAAGCGCTCTTCAAGCCTAGCACGGCCACCAGGACCGTGCACCCCGTCCCCTCCAGCAACGACCAACTGTCTCCTGGAGCCAGTATGAACGACGTAGTGGGTAATAGACAGGTAGGAACCTTGACAACATGCACAACAAGCAACAGCCAATCACTTGAAACGACAAGATGAAATAAAATAAACCCAATAATGCATACAGATGCGGTAGCATAACTCTGCTAAATTAGCATATGAAGTAAGCTGGTTAGCAACGATTCCGCGATAAGTAAAAAATGTCCCCAAATTACTTAAAAATGCTGCAAACACAACAAAGTTACCGAAGATAAGCGCAATTAGCGTAAGCAACGTGGCCAGTTAATGGAAGATTATTCAGGTAGGCAGAACAAACCAAATAAAGTGGAATGAAATGTATCCAGCTTAAAAAGACCTAGTTTAAGTGTACGTTGGTTTAGCCCAACTGCGGTGAAGAAGCATCAAGAATGCAACCTCAGCCTCAGCATGGGGCTGTTGTTTACATATATATATATATATATATATATATATATATATATATATATATATATATATATATATATATATGAAGTAGTAGGGGAAGTTGAATGGTATAACTTGAAGTTCCTCATATCTGGACTCAATCAGATAGGTATCACAATCCCGGGAACGCACTGTGCGGTCATTTCATCCTTTTGGGAATCGTCAGTAATGCGGCGCTATGTCACATCCACTAACTCAGTCAGGACAATCGTTACTGTCCCCTGTAGCACAATGATCTCAACCATAGAGTGGCAACAGTCGAGTTACAGGTTTGAGCCCCCCAGGGGTCTAATGGAATGCGCACTGCTGACAACAGTTTGATGTGCGCGCAGGAGCCACTCACGGTGAAAGTTGGACAGAGTGGTGCCGATTTCTGCGGTGCGCTTCAATTACTTTGTATCTGTTGCACGGTCACAGTACAACAGGAGGACCAGCGTCTTTCCGTGTTCTAGGTAAGGAGCGGCTATGGTGCGCGTTTCTCGGTGGCTTACCATGAGGTTTATCGATTAAATATATGGGAAAACTGCCAAAGACGAGTGAGAGGCTTTATACAAAACAAGATTGAGCAATGGCATAAACAATGCTACGCAAATCGGGTATATACTGGAAGCGAGTGTATTCCCATCTGCTTTGCATAACAGTGAAGGATGAATAATGGGAAGAGTCCCTTCTACATAAGCATTGTAAGGGAGAATAGTCTCTTAAGTTCAACAGTTGTGCGTTCATTGTTTGGTTGTTTGGAGTACGCGCTGTGTAAATAGTACGAGAGACGCATTCTCTAGTTGGGTACTTTGAAGTTCAGTCGCCGGAGTGGAGAATTGTTAAGAGGCTGCCAGTAACCTTATTTTCCAATTCTCGTTCCAAGTTTTTACATGAGTCGTGTGACCAAACATGGGACTGATTGTTTAGTGCAGTTTTGAGAGTGATAAACAAATTAATTTAACTACTCATTAAGCACATAACAAAACATAATTCATGAGTCCTGATGAAAACAAAATCCTTAAGCTCTAGCGATGTCTCTTTAGTAGTGTTAAAAGTTTCGTCCACTGTAGAATAGTGAAAGCGTGATCTTGTAGTACAAACAACCGTATGCGAACACTGGAAGTAGACTAGGATTTATGCCAGATGCAAACACAGTGAGGGTGCATTGCTGACCAAGAGGAAAATGGTTGCAAAAGATCGGGATACCTGTAACCTGGGTTGGTAAACTGTTTATCTGCATTTGAGGAAATGTATAAAAGCGACGAGGTGAGAGTAAACATTCAACAGGGAAAAACTATACTGCTTTATCGAAGAAATTAAACGAACCGTACTGATTGCCGGAAGAGGTAATCAGGGTTCCGGATATCTTTTGGCATGATGAATAGTTTAAAAGGCAACAGAAAGTCAACAGAAAACAGGGTTTCACAACGGAAAGTTCTGTACAAAGAAAAATAGACGTCCTGAACAGAAGTTAGCATATCGCCAAAGCACAGACTGCATTTTGCCTTCGCAAGGCTTTTCCATTAACAGTCGGGCAATGGAAACCACGAGGTCCGAAAAGTTAAATCGTAACCATTATATTTTATACAACGTAAGACCCTCATACAAGGTCAATGTCATTGTGCACTGCGGAAAGCAAAGCAGAAATGTGCAATCCGTCTAGGTATAAGACTTGGTAGAAGACTGTGTCAGCGATTGAAGGCAGCTGTTGAGCAATTTTACTGGGTAGGCGGGGACGTATTCATTTTCGCTTTCAACTGCACCCAACCATTCAATCAGCATCGTCGAAGTTTGATCGTGCGATCCAACATTTACCCTTATTATGCGCGCATACAAAGTACGTAAAGCAATAAGTCGCATCAACACTCAGAGGAAATTAGCCAGAAGGCATTTAAAAGTAGACCAAAAAATTAACCAGTAAATGAAAGCAACCAGGTCGAGTAAAAAAGAACGTCGAATGGGGTGCTGCTCCATGCGCGTACTATTGCCCGGAGTCGATGACTAGATCAGTGAACGTCACTCAAACGAGTGCAAACTGACTGCGAGTAGCGTCCAATCAGCATTAAGTCAAGTATAGCATAGAGTATAGACGATCGAGCAAATGTTCAGTGTTTGTACTAAAGCGTGTTTCAGTGTAGTAGCATGGTCAATGTGGAGCACACCAACTACTATATGTCGTTCAGCTGGCTAATGTCTGTCCAGCCATAGGCGAGGTGGTATGGATACGAAACGGATCAGAAACGATTTTAATGGTATATATCTCCTTCAATTTGGTAGTAGCATGTCGATGGCGAATATTAATAAGAAGACCTAGGCTGCCATCCTACAAGCTTGGAGAACTCTAGCACCGGCCGACCCATCTGATGCGCGAAGTTACAGAAGGATATTTTCCTTCTATTGGTTACAAATTTGCTTGGACACATTTTGTCTGAACTTGCACTACGGGAATAGCTGTCGGTCACACGCGAAGCAAGGCAAGCAAGTGTGTGGGGTAGCAGCCACCTAACCAACCGTAGCTGACGTACACAAGAGGCGCAGGAACTGCGGCTCAGTCTTGGTCCTAGTAGATAAGAAAGATGGCAATCCTGCACTAGCTGAAGTAAACTCATACGGGCGTCACATGATCAGAGGCCGCCATCCGCCACGGCAATTTGCCTGCTAATTAGAGTAAGGTGGTGAAAGACGTGTGTCATGTGAGTTCAGTGCAGCGTCCACATCCAACTGATGCATAGGGGTGTAGCGTCCATGCGAGTAGGTCTTCTTTGCTCTGACCCGTGTCATCAGAAAACAGCGAGTTCGGCGTGAGCAAATTGCGATGACGTAACACAAGGGGAAACGGGTCAGGAGGGCACAGTTTGTGCGGAAACTTGACTGGCCATATGAGCATCTGAATGTTAACAGCAAGATATACTTTTTTGTCACATCAATCAATTTTCTATACTTGGAGGTAATGGTTAGCTGGAATTCCAAAGCACTTTTTGCTACAGAACAGTCTAAACCGTGACCACGGCGCCGATTGCCCACCACCTCCCAAGGGAAAAGTGTTATCGTGGAGTACCAGAGTAGACAAATCCTGTGCAAAACGCCGTTCGTTTCGGTTAATACGTCGTAGGTGATAGAAACCGCGGTTTCATATGCCACACAAACAAGCCGTTAAATTTAAACAGCAGTCATCATTTGTTGAATTTGATACGATGGCATATGTAGAATAGTGAGTCGGGCTAAGTACGTATCAAAGAAAGGAAAAATTGAAATAGAAGCGCGGAAATCCAGACGGAATTGTAATCAAGCATCAAGAACCAGACAGGTTAGATTGAAATGCATGTACAACCCTGAACAATGTGTGTCTGCTTCATTTGTTCCTGCAAGCAAACATCGTTCAGACAAAGTGACGGAGAGGCAAGGAGTAAGGATGTTAATCTACGGTAATAGGAAGACTGAAATAACCGAATGGTTTGTTACAGGATGTCAGTGAAAGGCTTCACGGCGACTTATAGAGGATTTACGAGATGTTGAAACATTACGATGGAATAAAGGTATGTAGGAGACTGCAAGGAGATTGATGTGATAAGCATAAGCAAATGCTGGTGAGGCGGATAAGACGTTTAGGACATTTGTACCGATTAGGTGAACATTTGATGTCTAGATAATCACAGAATTTTAACTTCAAAGCTGCGGTCAAATAAATCAGTGAACATCTGTGTGGGATTAGCATGAAGGGTTGAAGAATGCTGTGAGTTATGCATAAGAAGTTATTTGAAATAATTTGTTGTGCAGATAGTTAGAGTGGAGTGGAGTGGAGTGTACATAAACCAAAGAAAAATATCGGGGAATTGCATGCTTTCGGCGCCTAATCGGAATCCTTCTCCTTTACCTAAGTCCACGTCATCTTCATGGGTGAATCTGGTAAAGGCGACTGCAACCTTGGGAAACGACAAATTGTGTCATATGGAAACAAAAACCCATAGCTCAGATTGTTCAGATGGCGGTTGAACTGTTCACTTCCCTAGGCTACACAATAACGCATGGATGATGTCTCTTCGATTGGTGAAGAAACGTCTTCAAAAAAATTGTCAAGCTCAACGAACAGTTCGACAACAAAAATGCGTCATCTTTGGGCTAGCGCTCAAAAACAGCACGATACTATGCAAGTACTCTGACTGTTATCGAAAACACGTATCGCATATGGACGCAAACAACTCACTAATGCAATTCCCATCGGTCTGAGAGTATAAAGTAGGCTCGACAGGTGCTTGAGCGCAATTGTTCAGTGCCATAGACTGCGTCAAAGTGGAAACGACTGGGAAGGGAGCGTTGCGGTCTGTGCCAGAACCACTGGAATCGGGACTGTATGTCATTAGTACACCCGTTCCAGAAGGTTGGTGTGAAGAAGTGTACTGAACTGTCTGTCCCATATTTCCAACAGTTGTCGAACCAATCACAGTTCCGTCACCAATACGATGGATGAGATGGTTTCCATTGTTTATACAGAAGGGACCTGCTGTGGCGAATGTCCCATCTGGGTGGGGTTTGGCAGTTATTTGCTGATACGGTGCCAACAGTTTAGCGGCTTCCTGTGTGCTCAACGCAGGATTCGGTCCAAGGGTAAATAAATCTCCGGTACCCAGCCGGCCATGGGAATGAAAACCGCCACGATCACCGTCAGCTGCGCTATGTTTGCTAAGGCACAATAGTCGCGTTCTCTTGCGATGTTTGCGTGTGCACAGCCACACAAGTAGCACAGTTGGTAGCAAAAGGAGTAAGAAGGCGATAGTTATGATGATGGGTAGAACAGTGACGAATTTTTCGTTGGAAGGGATAAGATCGTTGATGAAATTGGCGGAATCTGCCACCAGAGAACCTGTTTGTTTGGCGGAAGCCGAAGGACCTAAAAGAGTGAGTAGTAGAAAGGGAAACCTCATCGCTGTCACACGATTCTGCTGAGGATGCAGTGGTATACAAATAGAACAACTCATAGCAATATTCCCCATCCGGCAATATCCCACAAGGTGTCACCACCCATACACACATGAAATGTGAGCAGCAAGAAAACCGGTAACACCTCCCAAACACGGATACAGAGTGGAAGGCTGTGTAAACACCGCTTCCATCGCACGAACTATCATGGTGTTCGAGAAGTCGCAGTTATTTAAATGAAAAATCGAGATAGGAAGCTAAGGTAATTGTAGAAACTGTAGCTGCAAACCGAAATAGTTATTTTCGAAATAGAGCCAAAACGCAGTGTAAATAGGGTGATTGGAAGAGTGAAGTAACGGGTTAGGAAGAACTGATCATGAAACCCAGACAAACGGTACCAATTTACAGCTGCAAATGATGTGATCAACAAATACTGCTACCGTGCCGGTTAAAGAGTAACGTTGTTAGAATACATGATCGGTTCACTTGGCTTGATATCTGCGCGATGATAACTTCAAACTCTCGCATCTGATCCAAATCGACACTTGGTCTTATGCGCATACCGACAAGCTACCCGCTGCGCTGTGATGAAATCTAGGAGACACCCAACACCACTGAAGCATCAAAGATACTTGGGTAAAATCAATGCATAGTGGCTTCAGTGAACTGCGTGAGTAAATTGCTCCCTATTTCTAGTCGGTGGATAAGCGAATAATGTGTACATAGACTTTATCCCGATAAGGATAATTTAATAAAATGAAGAACACTTAACAAATATGCAACAAATCAGAAAATCTAGCGCTTAACCAACGGCCTCGCATCCTCAAGCTGCATGAGGCCATTGTGATGTTGAACTTGACGTGGTAGCATGAAGCACATCAACTGGCCACTGCTTATTACCAGTAGCTTTCAAATCACCTGGTTGCTGCAACACTCACTGGTTAATTAAATGAGATTGAGGAGAATGTACGGAATGTCAATGTCATCTCACTCGACTTCAGATTATCTTATTTATGATACCAAAGAGAATGTCATATTTCAAATTCCGAGGGTGTAAAAACACGGCGCACAAGCATTACAAGCTAAGCGAAACTGAGAAAACCGGTTAACAAACCAGTAAGAAGAGTCAGATGGACGGAACAACAGCGCCTTACCTCATGCGACATGATCACTGATTTTCACCTAGTAGTTCATAGGTTTGATGTGGCAATATGAGTGTATCGGAGCATGCCGCATGTGAGCACTGGAGCCAGCTAGCAAGTGTGTTCAGTGTCTTGGTCGCGCACTAGAACCAAGCAACAATAACAATCTCAAGCGCCTGACAAACAACTCAATTGATCGATCAACACGGACATCGACTCCTGTGACACCGAAGAGCTGTCTAGCTGGCAACTGCCCATACACACAAAGTAAGAGTTAATTATGCTATTTGTTCAACATTCTTCTCATTTCTAGGACCTAAGATATTTCCTACTTCCTCCCACTAAAGTTGACCTCACGTGACGACCGGATTAAACATTTTGGATTAGGTGGACCAAGCTGCATCAGTCAAGTGTATCGGCGCTGAGTGCAGTGGTCCGGACCACTGATGAGCTACTAGTTAATAAGCTCGCTGGCATTATTTTTAATTGTTGTATTTCGCCTTGAGTCGCCCTCATCCTCTACACACATGGTTTGTTGGACTACTGTGGTTCTCACCTGCGGTTATCATAAGCAGTGTAGCGACAATGCATGCCATTACACTGAAGGAGTCATCGTCAATGCAAGTATTCATCCTATTAATCATTGTGAATGTATATTGCATTTTAGGTAATGCTTACTATGGGACTTTCAGCATTCCAGCAGCCGCTACAGCGAACTTGCGACTACAAGACAGATGAAGGACTTCACTGATTATTTTCGCTAAGAGCACTGCTGCTTTTTACGCAGTGGGAAATATGCAGAAAATACTACGCCAACCGCATCTCCAATTCGCACGCGTTAAATACCCGTTCATCAGGTGAGGTAACTGACCTTCCAATCAGTAAACAGTAGGCGCAAACCCATCCCGTCCCCTAAGTGAAAACCACTCTATCAATTGAATGTATAAGAAACGTCGGTCACGGTTAAGCTTCAGTCCCAGTGAACCGAGAGCCGTACTGAAAACTGGGAACATTACGCGGTGACCAGTTGGAGTTAGCAGAAAGTAATCTTTTGTTGGGTTGCCATGACAACTAACGTTTATGCAGAAACGGGTTCACAATAGAATATCCACTCCAGATAGGGGGACTAATGAATAGCTTAATCGCTTGGGTGACCAGGACACACTACGCCAAAGGGACATAAGATTACTCAATAAGCCTAATATTCTATCTGCCATTCACTTACTCCAAATCGATTGATAAACTACTTAGGTCATTCGTATCACATGATTTTGGAATGCTAAAGAGCTTTATGGCAATCGCTGGATTTGGATTGTCCTAAACCACATAAGTCGGGATTTGCAATAAATACCCAGTTGACCTTGAGGGAATGTTTCAGTTCTGGCCTAAGGCTACATTCCTGCCACTCTCTCAATAGCCACAACTCACACGGACGTCCACAGAAGCGTAGGAACCCAGACAGTGTTTTCGCATTCGTTATAACCTCAACTAATATGGCTGATACGTCAAAAAGGTTCCAATGACGTAAGTAAGTTTACATCTTCCTGGGTTTAATAAGGAATTCCACGTAGGAGACCCTAGTTGCTGCAACGTTCAACTGCACAAGTTGGTACCCGTCAGGCTAGGTGTAGTGAATAGCAATTTAGGTCCAGTCAACAGCTATCGAGGGTGCGAAATAGTTGTTTCCGGACTCACTTCTACAACGGCAGTTTCTCGGGGGCTACATAAAGATGCGATGAGACAGAAAAACACCAAGAAGGATTCCGTTTACAAATGCATCGTATGGAAGGAACCCATTCAACAGAAATGTATGCGAAGTGCATGCGCAAAGCCACATGATCCGCGTTAATGTGTGAGGAATTATAAAACTACACTCGTAGCCCGAAACCAATGTTAGACGGTCATAGGAACGAGATGGCCGAGGATTCATGGACCGTGACTACTTAGCTCAACGTGTGTATTGTTGGCATTTACGTAAAATTATGCTACAACAGTTGTAGGATAGGGTATTAAAAGCTCTGTAAGCGAATTGGTGATGTGATCTTCTAAATTTCCACGACACATTGCCGAAAAGTATCCGCTACTGAAACAAAGACCGCTTCGTTCTTATTCCAAAAATTGTAATGAATCCCCACATTGCAAAAGCGACATATTTAGCCGCGCACATGCTGGGCCGGGTAACTATAATCGGCATATGGGAAGCACTGCGGAAAATTTATTTCCTCTGAGTACGTGAGGCATCGAATCGGTTACAGGACAAGCTTGCTGGCCCATGTAACCAGTTAGTACAGGAGATGTTTTGGCCTTTGATGAATACCGTCTGGGTGGAATGTAATGGAACCCCAAGCTTGAAAGTGGTCTACTCCAAAGAAATTGGGAGGAGATGGAGATGTAGTCGCGGAGGATCACCCAAGTGGCTATATCCCAAGAGTGCATACACACCGGGTGTCCACTTACTGGATTGGTGCTTCGGTCTATTATTTATGACAGTCGCCGTCTCTCGAGCCCGCCCATTTGTGGATCCCTGGGCGCCCGGAGATGCTCCAGACTGGGCGCCTATATTTGACGATAAGTCCACAGGTTTGTTCTTCAAATTTCGGGAAAGTTGATTGGAAGTGTTCCTATCCGACTGCAGGGACGACGTTTGAGTGTGAAGCGATGATTTTGATGGGGCTGCGACGGCTGTAAGAGGGCGAAGAAGTTTGATTTATAGAAAGTGATTTATAGAAAGAGAAAATTGTGTTCTCGTCTATAAGAGCAACGCTCGTAATATCAATGCGTGGACGAGCATAGCACAAAGCATAAGCCATCCAACTGAGTGTGATAAAAGGGAATTTCGGGATAGAATGTAAATACAGGACAGAAAAGCTTCGCAGTTTGATGCATAGGTAGTTTGGACACATACAACTGAGGTGACTGCAGAGAGGCTTCACAAACGAGGGCAAAACTCGCGTCAATGTTCCATAACTCAGAATGTACTGCTAACAAACACGATCCAATTGCTTGAAAATGTTAAAAACAAGAACATGTTGGGCAACCAAGTGCTTTCGCTGAACGTCGTATGGTCGTTCAACAACGTCTAGATACAAGAAGCAGTCAATCACCTTTGCGTATACGTTGATGGGCACAAGATAGATATCGAGATACCAAGTGTCCGTCTAAAATAGCTACCAGTCAGATGAGCTTAGAACATCCGATTCCAATTCAACAACGAATTATAAGCACAAGCAGACGGAGAAGCTATGGGATCGTTTCTCGGGTAACACAGCTGACATTTACATGGGTATGCTAAAGGATAGCCAGCTAAAAGTGATCATTTCGAACCTACGGTTCTAGCGACGTTATATTGACATATTCTGTATAACTGATCAGAACCCCATATTGCAAAACGTCGTTGAAACAGAGTACATCCCAACTCCTCATTCACATCTGAAGACAGTAAAGACCAACTGAATTTTTATATGCAAACTTAAGGAGAAGAGAAGATTGATCATTGCAAATGTATAAATTATAAAGGAATCCACACCACACTGGGCAATACATATATTTCCATAGCTTTTTCCACTCAGCCGCAACAGAACACCGGTACATACTCGGACAAACCATACACACAATATTTACAGCGAGGACAGTTGAAAATGAACTGAGGCGAATCAAACGGACGCTTATCGAAAACGATCATTCAGAACGCTTTTTCGACGCTCATATGTAACCAAGCAGCTCGACATCCATAGTGAAGTGATTGAGAAAAAACAGCCGTTTCTCAAACTTTTCTTTAAGGGTAACATAGCGGCTGAGATATGTGCACCACGACTGCGACAAACTTGCAAGTTGACATTTAATGCAGCACAACGTAACGTCGTGTTTAAGCAAACCGCTAATTTTTCCTAGATTCAAAGATAGTGCTTGATCAACTCCAATCAATGGATATCTATCGGTCACTTGCTCCTTTGGACGAACGACCAGACAATAAAGAAAGGGAATCAATGAACATTTACCGAATTCGCTCATCAATCAGCGTGACAGAACTCATTTCACTGCAGTAACTAACCATCTAATTTGAATAGGGCATATGATAGACAAAGGTAATGCCTCGGAAACCTTGTATAGATTACTGCCGCAAATAAATCACCGGTCAGGAGCACAAATGTTTACCCCGCATCAGATGGATGAGACCGAAGCTTTGCGTCCAGAAAAAACCTGTCTACGTAGTACAACTACCTAGGCTATCAATTAACCGAGACGAATCAAATCTCGCCAACGGCGCCACGTGCCTTCAAGCATTTGATCACCTGACGCGTGTTATGATAACCTTTTGAGTTTGTTTAAGCAAAAATCAATCGCTGTATACTTTTCTCAATGTACATTTTTGTAGTAAGCCTGACGAAGAACAAATCGAAAACAACTGTTCCCTTCAAGCGTACTGCAATGGACCTCAAACTGTCTCTTTCCTAAGGAGCAGAACCAGAAAATGGATGAATGTACGTAACACCAGATCATTGGGACAACTACGCAGCCCATCGTAATCACTGCACTCAGCTGCTCAGAGATGAAAAAGCGCATATCAGTAGAATATGGCGAAAACTTTCAGCGCTAAATACCAACTGCTGTACAAGTATGTCATTGACCGTCGTAAGGTGAGGCAGGGAATTCCTCCAGTGCAAACAGCTGATGGTCCAACTAGAACAGCTATAGAAGCAGCAAACGCGTTGCGGACGCAATATGCTCCCACATTCCAGAGGGTCTTATCATCAGGTTACATTCCAGTTTTTGTTTTACTTTTCCAGATCCCTCTTACTTCCGAAGCTGTATTGCAGAAGCTGATGTCTCTGCGCAACCACAGCCCTCCGGGAGTAGGCATCATTCGCCCGAAGGCACTAGGAGCAGTACCAAGAAAACCAGAAAAACCTTTGGCACAGTACTTCCAGCGCTGCTTAGACCAGAACCAGATTCCTGAGATGTGGAAGCTTGGAACAATAACTCAGATTCACAAAGATAGAAGCAGAATTCAGCCCTCAAACTACCGCTTACTGTCTCTTCTCCCTGTATTTTCCAAGTTCATGGAATTCATCCATGTCGATGCGTTGTGTGTTAGCTATAAAAGGGTAACATTATTGCTACCGAGCAACACTGCTTTCGTCGATACCGATTGTGTACAACGAATTTATTAATCGCACGGAGTAGTTGGATAGAGTCCGTTGATGCTGGAGAGACCGTTGATGTGATCTACTTGAATTTATCCAAGGCATTCAATCGTTTGGATCATCGGATTCTCCTTTTCAAGCTCCAATATTACGGGATCCGTGAACCTCATTTGAGCTGGATTGCCGACTTTCTCCTACTACGACAATTGGTGGTGAGAGTCCGGAGTTCCTTAGGTGACCCCATACCAGTGAAGTACGGTGTGCTCCAAGGCTGCTCTAGGGTCGCAATTGTTTTTGGTATTCAGCAATGACTTTGCACAGACAATGGGTGCCACTTTCTTTCTGTTTGCTGACGATATCCAGATATGGCACTGGATTCAGGCGGATACCGATCAGAATTTACTTCAGTGTGACTTAAATATGGTACATCTGTCGTCAACCCAAAAGCTGTTACAGTTCATGGTGAGCAAATGCAAGGTACCCTCCGCACGACACCAGAGTACCAATTCCTACAAGCTAGGAACGCAAGTACTGCAGTGATGATCCGTCGAACGCGACCTTGGTGTGCTAGTTCAGGATAACTTTGGCTGTTACAAGCAATCTTCAAATGCATCTGTTTCCGCCCGCTGACAGTCCGCTGCAAAGCTAGTCGTGAATTCTGTCTTGTACATTATTCTACACATAATAACCATGATTAGAGGATTTTATTACAAATTCTTCTGTCTCCAACCGTTTTCTGCACATACCGATGTATATAACACTAAGTAGCATTAGTTCTGTACGTTTCGTGCGACGTAATTAGATTTAGCGGTTTCGTCGTTACGACAGTCATCAAAATGATTCTCCGTGAAGTCAAAAACTACTAGAAATAAAGTACACAAAATGATATTAGCATTGGGGAAGTCTGGAGTTACAAGTGAAATGCGGTCAGCATATTAGTAGTACTTCATCAGCTATATCAATGTGCATGGAACATGGGCACAGCAAAAAAGCTCACTTGAATTAAACTGAATCTCAGACAATACAAACCAATTGTCGGTTGGGATGATAGTCAAACGGATGTACTTGGCGACGCGTTTGATCAAATCCATTTCGACGACCACAGCACCTCCGTACTCCGGATCTGCGTAGATTCGAACCTCTGGTTGAGAGATAGTGGACTGGCGAGTCCGTTTCGAGTCTCCAGGACCCGATGTAGGGCTCCTTTGGGGCCTAGACAAAGTCCTACTCCGGGAATCATAGAAATGGACTCGGCCAGTGGTGAACTCTAGGGTGTCCTCAAATCGAACGCCGTCCGAACTAAATGCCACCGTAGCTCGGGAAAATAATCGAACCCTAAGTTGAATGGAATCATAAGTGAACAGCCGAATCCAGGTAAAGCGCCGCGCTGTGGATTGGAGGGGAAAATACGCGGTAAAGAATGCCACATGGAACTATGTGTAAAGTAACGGAATACGAGAGCACGATGTTTAAAACGTGGTCGGCTATTGCTTGGAATTGCCATAACGCAGCAACACAAAAAAGTTACATGCGTTTATCAAACAATGGAACCAAACTCCATGTGTTCGCCAATCACCGCCATTACAAATCCAACTAACGCTATGCTAATATACGGTAAGTCAGATAAACTGATTATTTGTTGTTCAGAAGTCCTTTTAGAATAACTTAGTCAATTCACGCGTCGTTTTCCGGTACTTTAATGTGGCAAGTAGGTCTTACATAACTTCACCTGGACTCCCCAAGGTGACAATGAAGGGAATGAATTGAGTATGCTATTACATTGGATCAGGAACGTGCAGGACTGTTGACGAATGACCGTGAGGGTCTTTGCTCACCCCTCAAAATGTGTAAGAATTAACTTCGAGAGATGATCCGAGAAGGGGATCACAACTACTGTCATTGAATCGATTTCGCACACACTGGTTGAATTAAAATGCTAGACCGTTTCATGCTTAACCAGAATAATAGATACCATTACGCGGTTAAAACATAAATGCATTATTATTAGTATTATTATTATTATTGTTTGTAGCCGGCTAAAGGATAGTTTCGAAATTGCCTTGAGCATCAGTGAGGTACATTGTCATCTAGGCGTTTTACTGTGGAATAGGCAATCGAGTGGAATCTAATGGGGTACACATTTAATTGATTAATCCACTGTAAATTGATCGACCCGTGTTTACATTATTAGTGGAGGATATCCAACTGGAATCATCCTACCGATTAGTTTTACGTCTGCTAGCTAACCTCACACGACGGATTGACTGACACACACGCAACAAGTATAATGAGGATAAGTAAACATATATCATCACCAAAGTTAACGAATTGCTTACATGTATTTGTAGTGATGAGGAATATCTGTCAATTTATCAGAAGACTTTTTACAAATTGCACCGGTGGTGCGACTGGTTCCAAAATAATATCCAATCAAATCATCCACTCGCCGAATGATGTCAGGACAAAAATGAAACAGAAAGCTTTAATCTGTCTGGACTGATTACTTCCACACTCGCTCTGACAGACCAGAAACTTCATCCCGTCAGTGAAGATGAATACAACCGACGTCCACATATCAAACTATCTTACCAGTGTCAAACTCGAACAATATTTGCACTTCTGAGTGTTCCGCTTGATGCCAACCGACAAAATGAAAGCCCGGCTGCGAAGGATACACATCCGATTCGCGAGTAAGATTGCCCAAGAATGCGACATTGTCCATCAGCTGACCGAGGCCGTCTGTCAGTTGCTGGTATGTTGTGCCGACTATCTGCCCGTCATAGAATAAGTCTTTTAATTGTCGAACCACATTGTTGTCTTCTAGCGCGTCGCCTCGGGACACGGAGTGATAAGAAGCCCGAGTTAGTCCTAAGCCGCCTTGAGGCATGGAGTAGGAGACAACACCATCTGACAGACGAAAGAAAGGAGAGAGAGAGAGAGAGAGAGAGAGAATGGCGTGTACGCGAAAATGCTCGGTAATGATGGGCAAATAAGTGAGTTCAGCGGTGATCACAGTTTCGTTCTTAGTGCCTTCACAGCGAAAGGGTTGTGAGTATCACGCATTCGAAGCGCAAGATTGCACGACACAATTATGCTTACCGAACGACCCATAGGATGAGAATGATGACAGGACGATATTAAAAGTAGGCGCAGGTGAACATAAGTATTCAGTAATTTTTCTTCAGACCTGTGTAACAGATTGGTGAACACAACGTAAGACTTGGCAAAATATGTTTAGTTCGAAATCGCCGAGCACACACCATAACTGTCTGTTAGGTCACAACTGCGGTGTGCACACAACTCCGTGAACTGGACGCCCCAGTTCGAGTGGGTCAAAGCAGTCTTAACATCTGAGCGAACAGTTTCTGAACGCATAACACCGGTTCGTACAGATTGTACCTGTGACTATTCATCTGTTCGACTGTAAAAATACGACTCCACCTATCACAAAATTTGCGAGGTTATTAGATTTTCAGTTGGGACTGTTTCGCAAAATTATCACTGTTGAGGCGAAGCAAAGGGTTGAGAAATGTCATACACCGTTTAACACCGTAATTTTTACAGTTAGTATCTGACATCGTTTGCGGTCTTTTGTGATCAGCATTAATCATGATCTTGAGCAGTCAGATGACTGAGATGATTGTGAGAATGTTCTTCCAAGCAACTAATGTCCACGAGATTCCGTATGACTCGATATATAGGAGCGAATGGACCAGCTTCGTGATTCAAGACTCATGGGCCTTCCAAATGGTAATTTGTCATTAGTCTCATAAAATAATAGCAAATTCGAAACTGATTATTTGCAGCATAACTGGTGAAAGTCGTATGCGAATGACTAAGGGTCCTGATTTAAATAGCAGAGCTGCCCGAAAGAACATGATGTCAGGAATTTACAATGTATTGAACTGCATAAGAAGCTCTGGTATCCGCGTGCCTAATCGTTCTGTATCGCAGTCTAATACATTTTTGATAGTTGTATATTCAGCTCCGGAATAAGAGAGGCGAGTGAGTGCCTTAAGCGCACTGAATAAGAAGGCGTTTCAGATATTGTAGTGTGACAAAGAGTCGCGAAGTGACTTTAGCTGAGCGCAGACAAGCACCATGATTTTCAAAAGGGTCGAGCACACAGAACGTTGACGAGAGTAGAAACAGCGCATTACAATGAGCCGCCAGCTGATAAACATCAGCGCTGATTGTGAACGCGAGAAGTGGATTGTTGGTAGCCGTGTGCGGTCACTGAATCTATTAACCAAGTCGCGGTTCGAAGGAGAAAACATGCCAAAATGGTTGCACACATTGGTTGAATAAGCAGCACCTGGCACATGGCGGTTCACACAAAATTTACTTTGCTAGCTGAATCAGAATGGTATAAGAACGAATCAAATGGAACCCTAAGGTTTATGGCAAGACCCCCATAGAGCAGGAAGTATTGGTTGTAAGAAACAGCCTTCAGGATAACTGTTTTCTTCTTTCCTATCGTTCAGTGCTCATGGAGAAACTGCATGGGAATATCAAGCAACGGTTGCGTATACCTTAGTGCTGGTGCGAAGGAGGGAATAGGCGTAACCACAAAGAATGCCGTAACAGTTGAATTCAGTCATGAGGCAGCCACACCCACAGCATACATTTTGATGAACATATAAGCACATTGTGGCTTGCCGCATCCTACAAGAAAATCACGCACTGAATGAGTAATAGGGAACGCGCAAATTCAAGCTAGGGCGTGGCCAAGCAATTCCCAATGGAACGAGCAATACTTGTGGCAGCGTGTTGGTCACGATTTTGATGGAATCACTGCAGTAAACGCTGGCAGCACGTGCGAAAACGGGACATCAAATAACAAACACAAGGTGAAAAATGATATGCCCATGATAGCTCGCAAATAATCCGGTATTTTGCTCATGGCGCAAAATACACAAAGTAGCAGATTTCCATCTCACTGTTGCCATCGCAACTAACTTGTGGCAATGGTCGAACAATATGATGGACACGTTAGCAGAGTGATGTCAAAGCGCCTGGTGAAGGTGATGGCAGCATGAACGTACTAGGTAGAACGAATTTAAGCCGCTGTGTTTTCCATTAAATGTAACAGGGTAGGGAGTGGTTATTGTGAATACTACTAGACTTGTATAGCTAGTAGTAGGCGTTTCTATCAGTGCGTCTATTCTGGCCCAATGGGCATCGGTTACACGGGTTCCCTGTTGAGGTAATCCTGCTACATGTCAAATCGAAGCCCTGCACCTATACTGAACCTCAAAGAAAGCAAGAGAAATGCAGCCGCAGCGCATGGTGTCAAACTGGTGCATAGATATAATCCCCCTTACAGGAATCACAAAGTGTACAAGTGGAACAGTTGTGCCACTATACAGTGACGCGGTTATGCCGCGTTGCACACTCATAAACCTATCCGTCCAGTGTTCATTTCTGCACTTTCTGTTATGGGAAACAACTTCACAAGCGCGAGGCTTCATCATGAATTGACTGAAAAGCCCATGTTCCCATCACAGAGGCTACCACATTAAAGTAGATAAGTTTACAGGAGTTGGTGGGTGACGAAAATCCGACTTATGGATCCGTGGAGAATAATGGCGATAAAGGAAGCTGTGCGATGAAACATAGAAGGGGTGGGATTTGGACACTTTGACCCAGATTGATTTTAAACAATCGCACAGTTACGAAATTGTTTGGGTCGTTTCCAGTGAGTTCACATACGTTGTCAGTGAAGTCAAGTTACGTAAATTTGCTGCGCAAATTAGTCAGAAAGTGATGACGCATCACTAAACGATGTGAGAACTTTTTCAGCCACTGCAGACCTAATGTAGTCTAAATATGAGGCAAGCTGCTGGCACATTTCAAAGAATAATCAAGGCGATTTTCGACCGACGTTAGACGACAACTGATACTGAGTTCGCCGCCGCCGACAGGACATGTATTCCCGTCTTAATGTGACTTTCCGTTGGATTAATGTGTGGTCATCGAAACACTTCGGCAAAAAGTAGGCCTCTTGACGTGTAGAACGGGTCTTTCGGGTGCATATAGGCAAAACGCACCAGTTACTTCTGTGTATGTCCACAGGGGCACGTGCGTGGGGAAATGGGTTGATCCTGCTGTCTTAAGTGAAAAACCACAGAATTGATGATAACACAAGTTGACAGTTACTTGAGATTAGAAAAACGTCATCCACAACGGAACAGATAGAACCATCTGCAGTTTGCAACTGATTAACACCTGGGCTGTTTTGATGAAGCTCATGGGAGGACTCAATCCAAATGAAATTGTAGCGGCCGTTAGAAATTGGTAGGTTCCTCCAGTGACTAAGTAATACAATGGTCTAAGAACAGGACACAAGAACTGAATACCTATATTCGGTTAAGTTCAGTGACCGTATTTTGCGTTAGCATCACCTTCCATGGAGCTGACCACTTTGGTTTCTTCCTCTTTGCACGACTTGCACCAATAACGATTGCATGAACTCACCGAATTCCGCGTCGTCTACAGTGTTAGCGGTAAATTTACCATGCAATTCGCAAGATAGATAACACGTTGTAAATCTGGACACCTACCACCTATTTGTTCATCCATTTGATGTCCCATGGCTCCATGGCGATCGACGTAAGTAGTAAGTAAGGTAATTCTCAAGACGCATGTCGGGATTTTACACTGGAGGACCAAACCAGACGCCTACCCCATCTAATGAACGTCGACCTACTGATTAATTGTTTTATCCCCCCCGAGATCTCACACCCATGTTGCCATGGCTTCTCATTGTGGAAATGGTTTGCTCTCACACTGTGCAACCTGTCCAGACCCCCCCCCCACACACACACCTCAAAATTGAATCATCCTTCCGCCTCAGGGGCACACACTTCTAGGTCACCCCTCGTCGAACTGAGGCCTTCCGTTGAAGCCACCCCAAGAACCCAGCACATCACGTTTTTTCTCATAAGCTGTATAGCGAAGCAATTAGTCAAGGGTTAGTGGACCTATTTAGAGAAAGGTTGTAGTCCGATCGTGGAGTCTGTATTGTGTGATTCTTGATGTACGGTGGCAATTACAGCTTGCATTCTTTGTGGACATTGTGAAGACTGGTTGTTTCGAAGTTGGAACAGCATTGTGGAGGCACGTACATGCTGTATTTTGATTCCTATTTGTATAGTACCGTAGTTAACATCTCGGCTTCCTTGCTTGGTTGAACCAGAGAGTTTTTGCGCCACATTCGCGAGCCCCAAGCGACATTGTCTCTTACATACAGATTCTAACAAATAGACACATAACGCAAACGATGCAAACAGAGTATTTTATCCGGTGAGTTCTCATCACGCATGTGCTATTTAGTATAAAACTTCAATACAGCAAGCACCAAAGACCAGCTGCCCTGACAAAACAATCTGCATGAGGCGGATGACGACTTTCGCTTTAGATGTCGTTGGTATGCAGCTTCAACACACCACTAACGCAGAAGCATGTTTGAAATACCCGACGCGATGAATGGCCATCCAGTTGAGGAACCGAAAACATCGGCTGCAGTGGAAGGTCACTTTAACCACGCATAAGTCGGGAGAACTCTGAAGTGGTTGCTGACGTGGGTGAGTGCGTAGCACAATCATTTTCAATTTCAGTCATCCAGCCTTATATTGTTCCTAGTAAGGACCGATGGGTTACATCAGATGGATGATTTGAGTGCACCTGTCGGTTGTGATGTCATAAGGCAGATATGTGTACTACCATTGCATTTCATCATTCTAGTTGGAGAGAGTGGCAAAATTGGCCCTTTCTGTGAGTCTTGCCATGTTTGAAAATAACGAAAACAGTCAGATTGATTACCAGTACCGTTAATCATTTGAATGCATGAGACGACCGTACTTATTTCAAGGTAAAGTGGGTTGCTAAAACAGCATGCAACAGGT